GAATCTTCATCTGAAACCAGAAAGAGCCCTCCAGAATTCTGGCTGTAAGGGGCACTTACTTGTGATATGGGCCACTGGAATACGGGGTCCTTCTTCTAGGGTGACAGCTGTGAAGATGGAGAACCAGGAGGAATTGAAACCTGGGCACTCTCTAGCTGGTCTGCAAATCCCAGTGCCAGTGAGTCAGAGGGCAGAACACAGCACATGGAAATTCACCGCTGACCCCAAATCCTCTAGCTGACGGTGGCAACTCACTCCAACTCCTTCTCACTCTGTCTTTATGTATGTGGATTTATGTATGTCTGCAGTACTGGCGTATACACTAATTAGTTCATTTTATTTTTCTTGCTTCCTCATTACTGCTAATGAGCAAAAAAAAGGGGGGGAGGATTAAAAGTATAAAGGGCCAAGAAGGAAGGACGAAAGAGGAGTCAAAAGCTGGCTTCCTGCCTAATTGGATCTAATTGGATCATCAGGTTTAAGAAGAAAGTTGCCAATTTTCCTGAGTCTTATTTTAAGTCAATCTGAACTCAACTAAGGGGTTGGAAAGCAAAACACCCTAAAGGCCAGAGTTGTCCAGGAGGAGTCTCAATCATCTGAAAGCAGCAGATCAAAACCAATTGCAAAGACGCATGCAAATGCAGACATCCCAAACTTTTCTCAGCTTCCTTTTAGAAAAGGAGTGCAAAGATTCACCAGTGACTGGACCCACTAGTTCTGAGACAGCCCATCAAAGTTCCAATGTCGAATGTTGTTGATCAGCTAGCTGGCTACAGCTTGACATGTACTTGGAAAGTATTAGCTGTGAATGTAACAGATTTGATAGCACGTCTACTGTAAGAGGGGGAAAGAGGGAGAGAGAAAATGGAGAGGGTAAGCAAAGTGGACAGCAGGGAGAGAGGGATGTGATCTTTTCTTCTTGTAAGTGTTCCAGCCATGATGCCATCCACCGTAATGTGATGCAGTCAGGGTGGGGCCCCCACCAGAACCTGTATCATGCTGTTTGGGCTCATGGCTTCCAAAACTGGGCTGACATAAACCTCTTTTCATTAGAAGTACCTAGCTTCAGATATTTCACCGTAACAATGAAAAAAGAGATTAATATACCTTTGGAGTAACAACATGGACTGAACACGAACCTCACCACTGGCTTTCAAACAGACCTCAGGAACTTGGCCCTTACTCTCATGCCTGTACAGTGGAATCTGAACATCTGCTTATGCTCAATGGCTCTGCCAGATAAAGGTTATTTAGGTGTCATTGGGAGAAATGTCCCAGTGTGGATAGAACTCAAGCAGCCCATCTAGAGGCACAATGACCACTTCAAACTGATGGCAGTTTGACTACAGTGGTGGGTGCGAGTGCTGGAAACACACTCAGAATCACTAACTCGATTAGCCCCAGGGGAGATTTTCTAATATCCTTCCCCTTCTTGGAATCTCGACAGAGCTGTGTGAACTAGAGATAGCCACTCTCTATCTGCCTGACCTCTCAATCTCTGGAGAAAACTGGAGCCAGCGGAGCAGAGATGGGCTAAGACAGCACTGGAGCCATTTCCCAGGCTGCATGTAACTGCATCTGCTCCAACACTGCCCCATGTCCCTGCATCAGTAAAGAACAACACTGTAGTACATAAAATGAGCCCTTTTTTGTAAAATAAAAAGCATGAGCTTATGTTTTCAATATGGTTTCTTTGTACTTTTCTTTGGTATTATCCCTGCTAGCTCTGAGAGCAAGGCAGGCGTTCTGACTCTACAGTTCACCAGGCCAAGTCAGACAAGTCATATACCACAGGGCATGAAGAAGGGAGAGCAGCAGTACCAATGGCAGCAGCCTGCATTGCTGATCTCAGTTCACAGGGAAATGGTGAATGGAATGAAGTTTGCCTATTAAGACAGGGAAACCCCTCCTGCCCACCCCCATCGTGAGGAACCTCTCAGCAGGAGCTTCAGTGGTTTCCTTCTAAGGTGACTGGGGCTCCTCAAAGAAAGGGTTTGAGGCTACATAAGCTACCCAGGGAAGCATGGGGTACAGCAGGGCCTGAAACAAGCAGCAACCATGCGAGGAGTTAGCTCTTGAGTTACAAGCACCAAGACCACCAGTTTCCCAAAGAGTTGTCTGGGGAGTGCTTCCTTGGCATCCTTGGGAGACTTGATGCAAGCGTTCTTCGCAGCCATCATTCACACCCTGTCCATCAGACCTTCTGGGGATGGGGCCTGGCAAGTGGCAGTTTTTTAACGGGCCCTCTGGGTGACTGTTGTGGCCATCCAGCTTCAGTGGCTCTCAAACCCTAGCTCCATGGAAGAAATCACCCGAGGCACTTTTGAAAACAAGCCCAGGCTTTGTTACAGATCCTGACCTCAGAATCTCCGAGGCGGCTCACAGTATCCCTGATGCTGTCTGCTTTTTTATTTGACAAATAATTACATATATTTATGGGGTACAACGTGATGTTTTGATACATATGGACACTGTGGAGTGATTAAATCAAACTGATTTGGTAAGCCTGGAGCCTCTGAGAGATCTTCACAAAGTTCATACAGCGAACAGGAGTAAGGCCTAGCAGCTGGAACATCTCTGTCCCATCTCAGAATGCCTGGGTTTCAGTCCTGGCTCTGTTTCCACACTCCAGCTTCCTGTCGGTGCAGACCCTGGGTGATGACTCAAGTAACTGGGTTACTGTCACCTTTGGGGAGAGACTGCGATTTATGTTCTCAACTTCTGGCTCCAGACCAGCCCCTGTCTCAGCTCCAGCCACTGCAGGCATTTGGGAAGTGAACCAGTGAATAGGAGTACTCTCTGTCTGTCCTTCTGTCTGTATCTCTATCTCTCTGCCTCTCTAGTAATTAAAGAAACATATTTTTAAAAGTTCATAGGAAATGCGTATTATGAAAACCTGCACAAATCTCAACAATTTTACAAAATACTTATTTTTAATGTCATTTTTCTGCTAACTCTTTAAAGTCTGTTCGTAGTGATGTTTCAAGATCTCACGCTTTGGATGAATGCTTTCTTTCTCCCATAGTCTCTCTTTAAAAAACATATCTTGAGCCGGCGCCGTGGCTCAATAGGCTAATCCTCCACCTTGCGGCGCCGGCACACCGGGTTCTAGTCCCGGTCGGGGCGCCGGATTCTGTCCCGGTTGCCCCTCTTCCAGGCCAGCTCTCTGCTATGGCCAGGGAGTGCAGTGGAGGATGGCCCAGGTGCTTGGGCCCTGCACCCCATGGGAGACCAGGAAAAGCACCTGGATCCTGGCTCCTGCCATCAGATCAGCGCGGTGCGCCGGCTGCAGCGGCGGCCATTGGAGGGTGAACCAACGGCAAAGGAAGACCTTTCTCTCTGTCTCTGTCTCTCACTGTCCACTCTGCCTGTCAAAAATTAAAAAAATAAAAAATAAATAAATAAATAAATAAATAAAACATATCTTGGTATATTTTTAACTGACACATAGTAACTACATGTATTAGTAGAGTATGGTGTGTCATTTCATTATATGTATATAATGTGTAATGATCAGACCATAACTGAGATATCAGTCCTCGCAGGTATCACTTCTTTGTGCTGGGAACATTCAAAATCCTCTGTACTAGTGGCTTTGGAATACAAATTATCTGTTGTTGACCATGATTATCCTATTGTGCTATAGAACTTTTTCCTCCTGTCCAACTGGCACCCTAGATCTTTCTCTTTTAATTTCTCCTGACACAATATGCATCTAGAAAAGCATCAAGAGAATAAAGGGTAGATATGAATATTTGTGGGGAGGGAATGACTAAATCTGCAGAAGGAGCAAAGTGGAGCTTTGATTTTATCATATGTTCTCCCTTATATGTGGGAGCTAGAATTTTTTTTTTAAAAAAAGGAAAAAAAATCAAAAAACAAAAATAGAGAAAGAAAGAAATGTCTGTGTGTATTGGTATTGCTGCAAATACAGTTTTGTAAAACACTATGTTATACTTCTGTCCAGCCAATGGTTAAGAACGTTATACTGGGGCCCAAGTCCTTCTGATTGAGGTATTCGCCCCACCCCCACCCCCAAAAAAGAATGTCATACTACTATAGTGACTACTTTAAAATTTACTGTATATGGGTGAAATGGTCATTTTTCCATTCAATTACTGTTTATAGCCATTGTCTATATTCCCATTAAACTGGGGTCTTCTTGCTTTTTACTTGTTATACTTCTTATTGTTTGAAGTATTAAGCCTTTTTGCTGTATTGTAAATTTAAAATGTGTTGTCTCAAAAACTAAAAAAAAAGAAAGAAACGGAGAGGGAAGGCAGAGGGGAGGGGGAAAAGGGAAGGAAGGGAGAGAAGAAGGGAATATTATTATGTTCTTAGATATCTATGAAAATAAACTCAAGAAAAGAAGTTTGGGTACCATTCCTAATTCTGTCACCTAGGATTTATGTGACTCTCTGAACATTCATTTCTTTCTCTGTAAAACAAGAGGCCATAATGCTTGCCCTATCTCCTGCAGACAACTGTTATGTGAAGAAACCCATAAACTCTCAAATTCAATATAAAACATTATCATTTCAAGATTCCAACCATGATCTTAATGCATAAGGCAAATGTAAGGTAACAACAGAAAGTGGTAGGAATGATTTTACAGGTGATTTCTTGCCATGAGTTTCCCAATGTGGCCTGCAAATCCTTCCTCTCTAATGGGTGGAGCTCGGTCCCATTTCCTTCCCACCAAACCTTTCCAAATGTTTCTATAGGATATTTGGTCTACCCCAGGTCTGATTTTAACCCATAATGTAGCTCCGAAATTCCACAAAGTACCCCCACCCCCATCAAACCCCTCTGCATACAAACAGAACTGCATCAAACATCAACATTAACTGTGTGTGTGTGTGTGTGTGTGTATAATATACACATCTGTATGTATAAAAATCACACGGGCATATGGACCGAGGACAAGTGCTAGAAAACGAAGGCACGGAGTAAACAATGTTTCGGATGTTGCTGGCACATTACTAGAAGAGGCTACTTACCAGCCGGGTGTTTACCACAGGAAACAGCAGTGCCAGCAGAGCCCCATTCAACATATGCATCTGCAGCCTAGAGAGGAGAAAAGATCCAATTCAGTTCAAACTCAGACTCTGATGCAGAGGTCGAAAAACGTGTGTCAGGTTGAGCTGTGCCATCTGAGCAAGGGCTACATATACAGGTGGATCTCGCACAGAACACGGTCTTAGAGTTTGCACACATGCAAAATAAATTAAAAGCAGCAGATTCTATACCAACTGAAATGTTTGGAAGAGCACTACCTCTGGCTCAGAATATAACAAGCACTGCCTGAACACACTTTGCTTCCAACACTTCATTACACAATGAGCTCTGTGCTCCCTAAACATTCAGTCAGCCCCAACCCAGAGTGTCAACCAAGGCCGTCAGCTGCTGCAGCTTGGGCAGCACTGACAAAGAGGAACTACAGGAGGTAAGTGTTGCATTAGTACAGTGGAAGCCTATTTAATACAATATGCCTGCTTATTTATACAGCCAGGGCCAGTCCTCCTCCCCAAACAGAGACCCGGACAGTAAAAGGCTGGTACAACTCAGACAGCCAACTGCTGTGTTTTGCAAACAGTTTCCCCACTTTCTTAGAAATGCCTTTAAGAACTGCTGCAGGAGGCGGAGAGGGCAAAAAGTGGCAGCCTTCCAAGCTTTCTTTGATTTATTTTACATACTGGGCTCTGTAGCTTAAAAGCAAAACCAAAAAAAAAAATAGCAGAAGAAAACAACTGGTCTATATCACTGGGTAGTGATACTGCTTCCCACTCTCAATACCAGGCTTGTTCAAACAGGTACTACAAATCCTGGGTAAACCAGAAACAGGCCCTGCACCAGAGGGCTCTGGGAACATACTGAAACAGCTTCCTTCGTCTTTCAATGCAAATGCTTCCTTATTACTAAAGGAGCTGCAAAAATAAGAGTCTAGCCTTCTTAAAGAAGAGCGGATTTGATGATTTGTAGAAAACTGTGCCTCGAACCTCAAGTCACTAGCTCAAACTCTCTCTCTCTCTCTCTCTCTCTCACACACACACACACACACACACAGCAGTCCTGGGATATCTGATGTCCGTGATGGCGAGAGCAGTGCACACACTGCAGCCCTCCTAGAACTTCAGCTCTGCCCTCAGCACCCATGGATGTGTGTGCAACACTAAGAGGTGTCACAGGCGACCCCAGAGAATGGCACACGAGGTCCAAAGCTGCCTTTCACTTCTCCCAGTCTTTTCTTCCTGCTTGCTATTCTTTGTCACCAAAGCTGCCATGATGGTGATACCAGGCACTTAATATATTCCAGGCAAGTACCTCATTAACTGCCTTATATAAACTTTCTCATTTAATTTTTATAGCAGTTTTCTGAGATATGTGCAGTGTTGTTTCACTTTTTTATTTAAAAATTTTATTTATTTATTTGAAAGGCAGAGTGTGTATATGTACATGTAAGTGAGAGGAAGAGGGAGAGGGAGGGAGAGGGTGGGAGAGGGAGGGAGAGAGAGGGAGAGAGAGGGAGAGAGAGAAACTGAGACTTCTATCTGCTGGTTCACTCCCCAGATGGCTGCAACAGTCGTGACCATGCAAAAGCCAGAAACCCGGAACTCCATCCAGGTGTCCGATGTGGATGCAGGGGCCCAAGACCTAAGACCATCTCCTGCTGCATTCTCAGGTGTGTTAGCAGGGAGCTGGATAGGAAGTAGAGCAGCTGGGACTTGAATTGGCACTTTAATATGGGATGCTGGTGTCACAGGTGGCAGCTTAACCTGCTGTACCACAAGGCTGATCCCACTGTTCCCATTTTTTGATGAGGATACCAGCTTCTGAGAAGTGGGGTGACTTTGTCAACACTATGTATAAGACAGTAGATCCAGGGTTCAACTCCGGACCTCAAACTCTTCTATTCCTCTCACTGCCTTTTATCAGACCCAACCACTCTCCCTCTCTCCCAGACACAACCTAGGGTGGAGAGAGTCTTACATGTTCCTTTTCCCTCCCAATAGATTTTAGGGGTCTCTCTACCTCCTCCTTCATTCCTTGCTCCTGGTTTAATAAGCTTTCAGGGGATAACTGAAGTGGAGCAGGCTTTTTGGCTATGCCAAGCCATCACAGTCCTATAGGTTAATAGGGCTTGGTTTACTCCACAAAATGTAGGAGGTACACTGATGCAAAAATCACCCCTGCCCCACTAGGCTGGCCAGGTTACCAAGATTTTTCAGGAGGGTCTTTCAAGAGGGTACCCTCTGCTCTGAGAAAGCAAGCGCTGGAAACTCTGGCTCAAGCCCTAGGGCCTAGAGCAGGAGCCACTGAGCAGGCCTGAGATAAAGTGGACATAAGCCTGGCGGGGTCCCTGAATGTTCTCATGGGACGGCTACAGCATGCTGACTCACCCTGGGAGAAGAAAACTCACACTGCCTGTCTAGGTATAGCTGGATTCCAGTTCCAGGCTTTGCCACTGACCTCAAAGGAATGTTGGCACTTGCACAAGGCCAATTAGACATTTGGGCACCAGTAGTCAAATCTTGAGGATGATGGAATTGATTCCAAGGGCTCATGGCAGGCCAGAGATAAAAAAGATAAAACTCACATCAAGATTCTAATAAGTTCCTAAAGACAAGCCTTATTCTTTCTGGGTTCTCGAAATTCCATTATGGGAGCTACATATAGGCCAAAGGGTAAGTTAGCTTTAATATATAAAGAGGTCTTTCATATGAATCATTACAAAAACATCTAACATGTATTATGCATTTTTATATGCAGATCACACAATACTCCAATACATCACCACATATGATCCTCACAGTTTTTATTACAGTCATCCCCTTCCTCATTTTATAGTTGAGAAACCAAAAGTCCAAGTGGTTGACTCGCCCAAGATCACAAAGGCAGTGGGTGGTTGATGCGGAAGTCACACTCAGATCTCACCAGGTTTCAACTCAGAGTTTTCTCTACTGTACTCTGCTTCAAATCCATGGAATGAACATGCTACATATCACACACACACACACACACACACACAAGGAAACAGGCCAAGCAGAAGGCTCTGTGCTGCCCATGGAGCAGGAATGGTCACGCTAAGGACAATAGAATCCTGTGTGTGTTTTGTGGCAAAACTGCCGTGATTCCAAAGTTACACTTACAGCATAGTCCAACAGGTGAAAAACTGACCAAATCAGAGGCAAAGCCTTTTGTTTTTGTTCTATATCCACCACCAGTCTGTGCTCCAGATTCCTAAGGGGTATGAGAAATGGATAGCAACACACCCAGAAGTCATGTGAGCATTCCCTCATTGGTACAGTGAGAACCATACTAGTATTTAACTCATACGGTGGCTATAAGGAGTAATATTTATAAAATCTTTAGAAAGCACAGGATATATAATAACCCAAAGTGTTTGTTAAATAAATGATGAAGAACTCATCTAAAGCCTCAAGATAGATGAATGGATGGAAGAATGGAAGGAAGGGAGGGAGGGGAGGGAAGGATAGGTGGGATGGAAGAAAGAAATAAAAGGAACAAAAAGAAAATGAAAATCATGTGAGAGAATCTTCTAAAAACCCAAAGTATAAGAAAGAGGTCTAGTACGACAAAAGGACATTCTGAAGGTCAAAATCAAAGACTAGAGCTTAGAGACAGATTTCTACTTAGTCAGACCCGATTTCCTTCTTGCCAACTCAAAATCGTGGTTATTTTATTGCATATATATTTTATTTGGTGTATACTGTTGGGGACCCTCTGCCCTTCTGCAGATGGGCAGTATTAGAGACAGCAAGAAATATGCATGGCAAAACAGCATACAAAGAGATGATCCACACCATTAGGGAAATGTAAATAAAATCATAACCAGATGCCTCTCCTTACATATTAGAATTTCTAAAATACCAATAACAGCAATTCCTGAAAAGGCTGTGGAGAAACTGGAGCTCTCCTACATCGTTGGTGGGAATGTAAATTTACCCCTTTAGAAAAGTTTGGGGGCAGGAGTTGTGGCATAAGGGGTTAAGCTGCCACCAGCAGTGACAGCATCTCAAATGAGTTCCAGCTGCTCTATTTTCAATCCAGCTCTCTGCTAATGCATCTGGGAAAGGAGTAGAAGATGGCGCAAGTGCTTGGGTCCCGGCCACCCATGTGGGAGACTCGGATGAAGATTCTGACTCTGCCTGGTCCAGCTCCAGGCATTGCAGCCATTTGAGGAGTGAACCGGCAGGTAGAAAATCTCTCTATATATACCTCTTTCTCTCGCTGTGTAACTCTGCCTTTCAAATGAATAAATCTTTTTCAAAAAGAAAACTGACAGTATCTCATCCAGCTTTTAAAAAATGTTTTCAAAAAATTAAAACTACTTACCCCGTGACCCAATAATCCTGTTCCTGGGTATGAAATTTACAGTCCTGAGATGAAACCTATTTACCAATAACCACAATAACTCTATTCACAGCATTCAAAACCTGGAATCAGTCCACATGCCCTTCTGGAAGTGAATGCATATGGAACCTGTGGCATACACATACCATGGAAAACCACTCAGTAATAAAAAAGCTGCAAATGACTGATACATGCCACAGTTTGGGTGAATCTCAAAGGCATTTTGCTGAGGAAGCAAAGCCACTCTCAAAAGGTTATATCCAATAGAGTTCTGTTTAGATGTAATCCTCCCAGCAATACTATAGTGAGGGAAAACTGGTCAGCCATTGCCAGGCTTGAGAGATGTGGGTGTCATTCTAAAGGGACAGGATGAAGAGTTTTCAGAAGGAACAGAACTGCTCTGTACCATGACTATGATGGGAGTTACAGTCAAACTCACAAAACTTAAAAAAAAAAAAATAGGGGCTGGTGCTGTGGTTTAGCGGGTAAAGACTCCACCTGCAGTGCCGGCATCCCATATGGGTGCTGGTTTGAGTCCCGGCTGCTCCATTTCCAATCCAGCTCTCTGCTGTGCCCTAAGAAAACAGTGGAAGATGGCCCAAGTCCTTGGGCTCCTGCACCCAAGTGGGAGACATGGAGAAAGCTCCAAGCTCCTGGCTTCGGATCAGCCCAGCTCCAGCCATTGTGACCAT